ACTATTAAAAGCGACATGCGATAAAGGAATCCAAATGAAGAAACACAGAAGTGTTAATCAAGAGATGAAGCATTAGAAGGACCGACTCGAAATACAATTGGGCTAGAAAAAAAAGATAAATTCTTCTTCTTATAACGTCAAGTTATATTTCTGTTCCCAAAACAATATTTTTAAAAGCATTTTCATATTTTTAATACTTATACTTTTATTGTTTTTGGTGTTATATAATAACTCCGAAATACAACATAATACAACAAATACTAAATATAAATTAGTAACAATTTTACAAAATATAATCCGAAGATATAAAAAAAACGAAGGTTAAAAAACACCATTAAATAAAAAAAGCTGTTATCTTTAAAAATTTCAGAAATATTTACATGTTCTCCTCTAATAGTTAAGCGTCAATGTTTTCATTAATCATTCAAGTCCGATTTCGACTATTATTAACCCAATGCGATCGATTGTTTAATAATTTATTCCTCAAATTCTCAACTTCCGTTTAAGGCTCACACAACAACATTTCTTTATATTTACTGCATATCAATGTGTCTTCCGTTCTGTTTGGAATTTTTTGCTATTTTTATTATTTATTATTATTGCTCCCTGCGATTTATAGCATAAAAATCAATTGACATTTTTCGAATAATTATTGCCATATATAAAAATTGATAAATTTCATCACGTTCTCCTCACGCAGCCATATTCATTTTCAATGTTATTGCTCCCTTAGTAAGCATGGTAGCACTTTAATCAAAAAGGTTAATAAATAATTATGCAATTAAACTAAATTTTTTTCTTTAATTACAATTGTTATTTAATTTTACCATATTTTATTAGTTTTTATGCAATAATATGTGCAAATATGTAATTTGAAGTGTTCACATTTTTATATTAAATGTACGTCAACGTTGTTTTAAATTTTTAAAATATTAATCATTAATATGTTTAATGTATTATATCATCATCATCATATCCGTGACTATACAGTCCATGTAGGACCTAAGCTTTTTTAAGAACAGTTTTCTATTCTTCTCTGTTTTTTACTTTTGTTTTCCAGATTCTTATGTTCATTCCTTCTAAGTCCTACTGCACATTGTCTTTCCATCGTTTTTTTTTTTGGTCGTCCTCTTCTTTTGCTGGCATATCCGGCATTCTTATCACATGTCCAACCTGATGTATTATATATAGTATATGGATAAAATTCAGATCCTTAAATAATTACCTCTCGAAATAAAAGTAAAAGACCTATTTTAAAATAATAAATAATAAAAAATATGTTTAAAATAAAATATTATTAATGAATGGAAAAATGATTGTCAGTCAAAAAAGTACTATAATATCGTAAATACACATAGGAGGTACACATAGAGAAAAGGTTTTAAAAAGTTATATATATTAAGTAATATAAAAAATATCAGTTGTTTTTTCTCACTAGATAAAGTGGGGATTCATACACATTGTAACACAAATCTGATAATGTCTAATGAATATGTGTTTGAAAGGTAACACTTTAGGTCTAGTCAATGGTTAATTCGCCTAACCACCATTTTTCTCTGCATAACTTTCTTATTGATAATAAATTGGCACCACGAAAACCCATTGAAAAACATTTGACCAAGTATTCAACAAATGGATAAAGGCCACAAATAGTAATGACCAATATATACTTGATTTTCAATAAACATCCGAGGATACTTATGTCATTCAATATATATAGAAATTGTTTAGATTAGATATAAAATCTTCTATTTCGATTAAATGTAAAACACATTGATCTTAATAGATAATATACATTTTTATTTGTTAGCTGATCAGTATCCTGTTGATAAAGTAAAAGAACACGTTTATATCGAAGAGCTCATCAAGGAAGGAAGGGAAGTTCACGAACATCTTCGAGTGGCTCGAGAACATCTTCGAGTCGCTCGAGAACATCTTCGAGTAGCTCGAGAACATCTTCGAGTAGCTCGAGAACATCTTCGAGTAGCTCGAGAACATTTTCGAGTAGCTCCAGAACATCTTCGAATATCTCGAGAATTAGTGTATTTAAGATAGAAGGAAAATTATAATATAACTTTAAATAATTTTTTGCAACTTAAATCCGTTTTGTCAATGATAAATTGAAATATGTATGATGCAGCGTATATAGAATCACATATTACTATTCACAATACTGTGTGTCCATGGGATAACTACTACAGTTCTTAAAGTAAGTCCTAGAAACCACTTATTCATAAGACTTTCATATGTGTGTGTATCTTTTATTCCTTGTTAAAGGAATAAAGACAATTAAAATCAGTTTGTTGCATTTCAATATACCATTTGATCAAAACGAGAAGTTAAAAAAAAATGCAAAATTTTAATTTCTAATCATTTTCTTTATTATCGCCTTCAAAGTACTCACATCCTGCGGCAATACATTCATACCAACGCTTGACCCAATTTTCCACACAAGTTTTATAGGCCGCCGAAGATATGCCCTTTAGTTCACGAAGCGAATTCTCTTTTATGGCCTATATGGTCTCAAAATGCGTTCCTCGCAATGGCTATTTGAGTCGGGAGAAGAGGAAAAAGTTACACGGTGTCATATCTGTAGAGTATGGTGCTTGGTTCATGATATTGGTGGAGTTTTTGGCCAAAAACTGCGACACAACCAACGCCGTGTAAGTCGGTGCGTTATCGTGTTGTAAAATCCATGACTTTTCCTTCCATAAATCTGGGCTCTTTTTGTGAATGGCCTTATTGACCGTTTGACCGTCCGGAAGGAATTCATAGTGCACCACACCACGAGTATCGAAGAAAACAGTCTGCATAACCTTGATTTTGGACTGACTTTGGCGTTCTCTTTTCGGTGTCGGTTCATCTTCGAAGCACCATTCGGTTGTTTGGTGGACATGTCAAATTTATAGACCCATGTCTCATCATCAGTTATGATGCGTTCGATAAATGTGGGGCCACAATCTGCGTTGGAAATCATCTCTTTGGCCACATCACAACGACACTTTTTTTGAATGAAATTCAACTAAAAATCGTCACACCAAAATTTTTCGACTTTTTTGTATAGACGCCAAACAAACACTAATCGTACGATATGCGTTAAACTTTGACAGAATGTGTATAATAGTGTTGCCAACGTGAAAATAAAAAAAAATTTGCCGATTGGATAAGCGCGGGAATTCAAAAAAGAACGAATAAGTTTCTTTTTGATCACAAGATATATGTATAGATTAAGCTATTAAAGCTAAAAATGCATAATGAAAATGAATGAATTAATTAAATAAAATTTCATTGCATACCTGTACAATTATAGGTCTAGTATTATTATTATCTTTTTAAAAGATAAGCTTGAATTCGAGTATTGAGGAACGGAAAGGTCTCATCAGAAAACATTTTTGCATTGGCTGTTTCAACTTTATAATATCGAAGGACTTGTTTCTCTCTATTGGTTTTGATATTATTCTGTCTATATCTCTAGTTCCGTTATTGTATATTTGGTAAAAATATATTTTGTATATTGTATATTTTTGTAAAAGTAATATTTGATTCTTTATCCTTTACTGACCAATTGGAGAAAAAAAAAACAAATTGAAAAAAATAATCAAACTACTTTGGTTTTGTGGTTAAGTGTTTTATGACTTTTAAACTCTAATCTTTTTTCTTCAGACCATAAATTGTACCAAAAGCAAAGCAAAGCTTTTTCATTATCTTTTTGTTTTTGTTTTTGTTTTTCTCTTGCCATAGTTTGTTCCTCAATAAAAAAAACTGGCGCGTATTGTGGTAGCAAAACGAGTTTTTCCTATGGTTTTTGTTTTTGTTTTTCTTTTGTTTGTCTTGTTGCTGCTGCTTAAGTTGTTTTTGTTGGTTGTTGGTTGTTGTTTGTTGGTTGTTGTTATAATTGATTTTTTCCCCACTCTGATTTACGTTTTCGAAAACAACAAACTAGTCGCGCACACCAGATTTATGCCAACCAACAAAAACTCTCCGCCAAACATTTCGAGTGATATTTCTCATTTATCCATCGTTGCAAGTTGAGTGCGTGTAGAGTTTTTTCTTTTTTTTTTTTTTGAGTTTTACTACGTGACTTTTCTACACGGCAAATAAAATTCATTCAAAACGGCAAAACTAACTCAAATCAATTTATTATGAAGAAAAAAACAAAAGACTTAAGAAGCGAACTTGCTTTTGTGATTCTCTGCACAAAAATAGATTAAGAATTTTGTTGATTTTTTTGTCTGCAAATTTTATTTTATTTTTTAAATTATTATTATTATATTTTTAGATTTTATTTAATATTATTTTTTTTATATGTGCTTTGTCATTTATGCACTTCATAATTCATTTATTTTTTTTACATACTTATTGGACAATTATTCGCGGTATATCTTAATTTCATTTTGTACGCACGTTAGCAATTGTAGTTTATTGTAGTTTTTATGTTAACATCTGTACAAATATATATAAATAAATATACATTATGATGTACATATGCACAGATTATATGGTAGGTATATGCCGTCAAGCTTAGCTTACTGCCTCGACTTATTACTTATGAATCATGTCTCCCACACATAATGTCGGTTCGGTGCTTATCTGCTTTTGCAATTAAATGGCATTTTTATTAAAAATGCGAAGCACCGTCTGACAAACGTCAAGACATGTGATGAATTGTAAACCGTAAAACTTTTGACTATTTTATTTGTATTCAGGTCCCACCATGTGAAAAGCAACAAAAAAAAAAGCGAATAGAGGCATTTATATTATTGTTAAAATATATTGTGAAAATTGAATCAGTCAATTAGGTCCAACTAAAGTCTAGCAATCAACATAGTTGTCGCAAAACAAAATAAATTTATATGTAAAAAGACAAGAAATCAATCTAAAAAAACATTTTTGATTGATTGACTTTAGTTACATATATATTTAGTTACATATATTTTAAGCTAAATACTTTATATCGCCCTTATAATATTGAATTTAATCAAAATTGTTTTAATTTACAGAAGCTCGTTTAACATCAAAAGAACTTCCTACATCAAAATGGCGTCGGGAACGTCGTTTACGTACCGCTGAATATCATGTTGCCGCACTGGGTGCAGCTTCATCATCAACTACTTCACCACCTAATTCACCACCACCAACAATTTCAGCACATACAAATATTTCACATGCAAGCCCAGGTGTTTCATCTGTATTACCGCTCTCGCATACACAAATGTCCATAATGATGGCTGCAGCGGCGCCTTCAATACGCCCACTCAGTGAATCAACAAATCGTCCAACACCGCCACCAACCTCACCAACACCAACGCTACATATGAATCATTTGCAACATAGCATGGAAAGTCCTATTGATATGTCTGTAACTTCAACAACTATGAAACGTTCTTCACCACCTCCACCATACCGAGAGCCATTACCCGGGTCTACTTATGCAACTTCCCTAGCTAGACCAAGTGTTATAACGCAAGCACCACCCAAACGTGGCGGTGAGTTGTGCGATAATATTTTAATTTCAAATCGTGAGAACGATAATCGCAGCACTGGTAAGTTTGCAAATATTACAACATTTTGAACTGTTTTGCTTATCAATTTACACTTTCAGAATCAATATCGATGTGTGAAACTGTTATTGATGAACATTTTCGACGTTCACTTGGTCCCGATTATGTTGCATTGTTCGCTAAGAAAGCTTCTGCGCCCAATTCTACTACTCCATCACCACAACCAACTTACCTATCCAATACAACAAACTCAACACCAACACCACCACCACAATCAAATGCACCACTGCCAATATCATATCAACCACAACCACTAATATCGCCAAAACCAACTGCCATACTTCTGGCAGCATCTGCAATTGTAAATCAAACAAGATCGGAGCCAATAACTACACGTACAGAAAAGACTCAACAACATGTAACTACAACTAGCAATGTACCAGGGCACATTTCCGCACAGCAGCTACCTTTGCCAATGCAACATTCTAATGCACCTCAACCAAATGCGCCAAACTCACCACAACCCTTAAATGCTACAAGAAAAGTTGCTTCACCATTAAATTTACACGGATCCAATGAATTACACTCAACTACACATTCTCCAGCTGCTTCTCCACGTCACTCTCCCACTGTTAATGTGTCAACTGGAAAATCTAATTCAAATTCGGTGGTGGTTTCTTCCTCGACCACACAAGCGACTGTGCCGGCTGTTATGCGTATTAAAACTGAACCTGGTTTTAGTACTGCAGGCACTACAACACCGCCTGCTTCGCCAACATCATCTTCATCCAATAATTCCTTTACTACCAATTCTGATATTTTGGCTTCTGTGGACGATCATTTCGCCAAAGCTCTGGGCGATACTTGGAAAAAACTTCAGGAGAATAAAGAAATGCGCAAATAAAGTGGATACTTTTAGCTGGCTAATGTAACAATTTTATTTTACCTTTCTGAAACATATGAACATTAATAGACAATACAATACAGAAGTTCTGAAATACTCTCTACATATGCAACAAATTTGGAGTGCGTAACTACAGTTAGACATTCTCCACATCTCTAATACTCTTATAGGTACTAAAACAGTGTTAAGTGGAAAGCGTTGGGAAAATTTAAATGTGTTTTTAGTAGATTTACTGTTCGGAAAGTATTCTCTTTAAAAATTAATTTCTTCGTCATAATTGTATTAAAAACAATATTTAATTTAAATTTTTTTAAATAGGACTGATTATTAATTTTTCATTATTCATTGCCATTTTTTATTTAATTTTTTTTAATTTATTTTGTTTTTTAATTTATTTTATTTTTTAATTTATTTTATTTTTTTTTTAATTTATTTTGTTTTATTTTATTTTTAAATTTTTTTGCCATTTTTTTTAATTTATTTCATTTCTTAATTAATTTTATTTTTTTGTAATTTATTTTATTTTTTTTTAATTTACTTTATTTTTTTTTTAATTTATTTTATTTATTTTTAATTTATTTTATTTTTTGTTTTGAATTGATATTTTTTTATTTCATTTAATTAATTTTTTTTTTCTTATTTTATTTAATTTTTTTTTATAAAAAGTGTGATTTACACCATTTTTATTGCTGATAGTGAAGTTTTAAAAATATTTGTAGAGATATAATTTATCAGACTACATAAGGAACTAAATTCTTAATATAAACTATTGTTTTCAATAGAGAGGTATTTTGTTTTTTATCGAATAGTAGTGAAATTACAACAACAAACATTTTTTTTATATTAATTAATTGAATTTTTGGCTGACCATACAGCTGTTTCGAATATTGCCAAATAGCCATCATTATTGGTCTTGAAATTATTGCGTTAATATAATTTTTCTAAATAATTTTTTGAGATTGCAAATTTCAAGGGTTGAACTCGTACTGGGAATTGTGTTTGTTTGTAGTTTTTACATTTCATCAACAAATTCACTTGCTGTATTATATTGGGGTTGGGTTCAAGTAATGACCTTATCTTATCAAAGCCTACTTGAGCACAAATTATGACCTTATGTGATACCACAAATAGTCGTTTGGCAAACTCTAGATATGGAGAATCATCACAAAAGGTATACAGCTCGAGGTGGTCAGATCACGGATAACGTTAAATAGACGCAACTCCCTTTGTTATATTAGAACGAAATAATTTTGTTGTTGTTATTCACTGCTGTTCATAAAACTTTTGGTCTTGAAATAGTTTCTTTTGTCATATTTGAATTAGAAATTAAATTTTAATTAAAAGATAATTTAATTTACACTCTAATTAAAAATATATATACATTAAATATATTATGAAATTATAATAATAATAATAACAATCATTATTACATCGTGATTATTATTACTATAATAATATTTTTAATTAGCGTGATATATTGGTAGAGTCGCGTTATTGTTATAGCTTCTCGAGTTCTCGTCTGACAAATTAATAAAAACTAAATATAAAACTTCAGTAGCACCAACTATCTTTATCTCTTCGTAATATAATACGAATAGTTAGTCAGCAGTTGGTAATAGGGTGTATAGTACAATAATAATAAACTATATTTTTGAATCAAATATAAGACAAAATCATAAGCTGAATTTATCGTTATTTATTATCGTTAAATAACAAAAAATAAAACTTACATCTTAATAGTGTGTTAATTTCAAAAAAATAAACTACTAAATCAGCTAATTCGATTATTAAGTGGTCATTTAGGCATAATTAGCAATCATTTATTGTTGTTATCTGTTAAATGTATTATAAGGTATTATCGCCATTCAATTGACAATTACTAGTAACCTTATGTCTAAGGAATCTTATTCAGTTTTCCTATAACTTAAGTGACTAAAAGGTTGTACTTCATTTTAATTGTCTGTAGTTAATTAACGTCCATCCAATGTATTTAAATTTAACAACATTCACCTGAAGGTGAATATCTTTGCCATTGTATCAGAATCAAAAGCTACCCTATATTATTTTTGTTGGTCTGTAAATTTGTTGTTCAAAGATTTTATCTTTTAATAGCATTAGAAATTAATTTATTATTTTATGTTTTTAAATAAATATTATACATTATTTAAATACACAACGTCTTCCACTTAAACTCGACGGATTAAATTACTATTTTTAACAAAACATAAAACAAGAACTATCCTAAAATTCTTTTAGTATAAAATCAAACAAAACAATTTTAAAAAGATCTCAAAAAAGAAACTTTTGTGAACATTTTATTTTATTTCTTTTATTAAGCAAATGCAAAAAAAAGAAATTTAACTATTATAAATTTATAAAACAATTAATATTAATTTTTTTTCAACTGCTTTCATTTTAAAAAGTAAAAAACTATTAAGCTTATGTATATTAATTATACTAAAAATTGTTGGAGTTAATTTAAAAAAATAAAAACTTATATACAAAAATATATATTATCATGTTTTGTATATTAAAAAAAAAACTTATATTACGTTTAAAAGAACTCAAAAAAAAAAGTAAATAAATAAATAAAATAAAATATAGTTTGTGTCCTTAAAAGAGATTTTTTTAGTTTTTACTTAACAAACAAATTAAGTTTCATTATAAAAAATTTTGTTTATAAAAGATAGAAAAAAAATGAATTTAATATCATGATTATAATTATTAATTCTATATATTAATATATACATATATAAATATAAATAAGTATTTCTAACCGAATTAATCCTTTTATTTTAAAATTTATTATTTTATAGTTCATAATTACAAATTATGATAATTGTTTTAAGGTTGGCCAATGAATTCCTATTAATTTGTAATATAATTTTTATTTTATGCTTTTTGTATACAAAATTTTTTAAATATATATATATATAAATATATATATTTATATTATAATAAATAAAATAAATTTGAAAATTTAGTAATATTTTATTTTCTATTAAATATATTTTAAAAAGTGTATATAAATATATATTATATATATATATTTCATTCATAAATATGAACGCTTCATAAGCTATTATTATTATTTTTTTTTTATTTTATAAAAACTGTTGTCATGAAATCGCCCAATAGCCGATACTGTGACCAGAAGAGTCCTATTGTTCTGTGGCCAGAAGAGTCCTTTGTGAACATAGTTCAAAACTAAATCTAGAGAAGAGCTCTTAATCTGTTCTGGTGACAAAAATTCCATATGAAATATTTATTTATTTATTTTTTATTATTGAATCAATTATTCCAAAAGGTACAAAAGTTTTCTATCACAGCAAATGGTCATTGTTGACCAACGAGTCGTTTAAATATTTATTTGTTCTATTTTTATGATGCATTTAATAAAGTTTCGATACCTTTGTCTTTGTAATCATCTCTGGGTCTGTGTATTATGACAAAAAGTCAGCTAACTGATGAAGATGATAGTACTAGTTTTTATGATTACCCGACTTTATTCTGGGTTAAGGGGGTGATACTGAAGAGAGATTTCCTTATCTCCATTTTTAATTAGAAATTCCTGAACATAAAACAAAGATTAATTTTATAGATTGCCTTCACTTAGGAGCCCAATCATCTTCTGTTTAGTTAGTATCTGTTGCAGCACAAAATAGCGTACAAGGCAGCCCAAATTTATAATTTTTTTCTATTCTTTGTTGATCTTCAATAGCGTTTCAATAGCGTGTTCCATACAATTAACCGAGAAGCTAATTGGGATGCGCTTAAACGACGCCTACCGAAAATAGTGGATCTGTTCAAAAAAATAAAAGCACTCTTTGCCGAAAACGAATACTTTGTGATGTACGAAGTTAGAAACAGAAGTTCTTTTTAAATTAATCGAGGAGTTCGTTTAAGCTGTGAGATATCCGTAAGAACTCTGCTTAGTATCACTAGAAGTCATCATAAAGAAATCAAATAAGAGCTTTAGAAAGGAATACAGTGGAAACCGATTGAATTGTTGAAAATCTTAGAGTATACAGAAAATGTGAACTGTATACCTTCTAACACAGTTAAGGAAGTTATCAGACATAAAAAGGAAGTTTCAAACACGTTTGTCCTACAAAATTTCTTGGTCTAAGAGTAAATACGAAAAACACACAACTAAGACACATGAAAACATCAACAACACTACTTCTTGTGATACAGGTAGACAGGAAAGGCAATAGAATACTCCTACTATCAATAGTAGATGTAGAGATTAAAATAAACAAGACATTTTAGACGGTCTATAAGTTAAATATGTACCCCAAGTAATATTTATAGGCGCAGTAATCTTTGTATTTTCAAGTGCAGTAATGCTTTACGGATGTAACCTCTGAAAAGGAACCGCATATGATTACAAAAATTTACAACATTCTTCAGATAATCACAAAAAGATCATCGCTGACCCGGTTCGTTTCATAACGCTGATCAAGCTAATCACGCCTTCTAACGTTTCGTTACTACTCAAGACAAAGGTTTGGAAAAACTTCATAGAAACGATAGTTTTAATACAAATAAAATTGTATAAATTTGCTAAATTTCGGTTTTTGATTTTAACTACAAATAAAAATTTTATTTAAATTTAAGTTTTGTTCAAGTTTTAGAATTCAAATTTTACAGCAACTTTTAAACTGTTGGCTCTTAAGAAACGCTTAGAGACCGTATTAGTATAGCTATAGCAAAGACCATATGGCTACACAGACGTTTGAATACCGTACGACGTTAGGATCGTCTATTCAAGCACGGATAGGTTTTTACTAAAATCTTAACTGTGATAAATCTCAGAACACTTTTTCAATTGTTTCTTTGTTTATATTTAAAATTTAATTTATTTAATAATGAGTGAATGTTCTGAATTATGTTATATTTTCATCATTTCTACTTTTATGATTTTTTCCAGAGTTTAGCAAAGAAATAAATCAACCAAAATAAAACTTTCGATAATTGTACATAACTATAAAGTTCATTACTAGATGGCACATTGCAGATCTTAACAAGTTTCATAAGCTTTACATTATTATATTAGCAAAATTAATTAGTTGCTATATAAATAATTTTACAAGATTTTAAATGAAAAAAATTATTAAATAAATTTTATAGCATTAAATTAAATAAATTCTATAGAAATATCTATACCACACATTCTTACACATGTCTGCTTGTCCCTGCGGCTGGCAATAACACCAATATTTGTTGTTGTTTAATTATAGTATATTTTACTTTTATAAAATACATATTATGCTAAAATAATAATAAAAATGATTTACACATATATA